GAGGTCAGCCTGTTTAGGCTCAAATCCCAGTCCTATCTATTCTCTTCTGGCCCAGCTTTAAGACCAATGTCTTGCTGAGCAAGATTTTAAGCCCTCTAGAGTTCACTGAAATGATCACGGTTTTACAAACCCTACTCTGTCTCTATAAGGCAAACCTGATTGATGAATGAATGACTTTGTTTATTAGGCATATACTTTCTAAGAAAAAGCCTAAAGAAAACTATAGTGGATGGTTCACGTTTTCCTCTCTACATACACATAATCATAAAATATATAGCCAAACAAACTCTACCTTTTCTTTAGGGTGACCTAAAGAAAAGTACAACTGGAAAAAGGGGCATTACCAGGAAGGCACAAATCTGAATTAAAACCCAAGGAATTTAAGAAAAGGGGGGCATCATTAAGCCATAGAAGAGGTTGGGGTGAATTACTTAGATGTCCCCAACATTCAAAGCAATGGGCACAGATTCTCAAAGTTAACTCAATCTTAAAATAACACCAAGTTTCTTTAGGTCCTCACCAAGAAGGTCAATCTTCAAGCTTTAGCTAACAGCAAAACAAGAGACAATAGTATAATAATTATTTCTCTTCCTTGACCCCAATCACCAGAAAGGCAACCTGCTCTCTGAGGACACAGGCCTGAGGACCAGAATCAGGAGATCCAGATTCTCTTCCGGGCCTGGCTCTCACTCACTGGTCCATCTCCAAACTTAACCTCAGCAGTACAATAAGGGCACCACTTCTAATGTCCTACAGTTCTATATTATTATGCTGTTAGATAGGAGTGACACCAAAAAACATGGAGTTCACAGAACTTCTAAATTCTGTACTTCTCAGACCAACCCAAATATTCTCTCTATAATTTTTGTCACAAATTTAAGTAGGCTATTGTAAAAGTGATATATCTATATATTAGACAAGAAGAAATGTGGTCCAGAAACCATCAGGTATAAGGTATGACTAAGAGAAGTGAAAATATTTAACATGGAAAAGAGAAGACTTAATCTGATAGTCTTAATTACCATGAGATCGATGTCACAATGATGGCTTATTCTGTTTTACTTTATAGGACACAACTGACCAATGGATAAAGATTGCAGAGAAGCAATCTCAACAGAAGAACAGAAGAACAAGACTCAACAGAAGAACAAGATTTAATTAGTTCCTCAAATATACAGACTTCCTCTGAAATAAACCACCTCCTCTGTCACAGGGGGTCTCAGAAGTTAATCTGAATAATGCTCTGGGCTATTTTAGAGTAGTATTCAACAGACTTTCTGCAAAGGAATTTGAGGACTGTATTGCCTCTGTTACATATTCTTCTTTGTGCGAGTGTTTTTGCAGCCTTTAAAATGATAAAAACCAACTTTAGCTCGTGGGCCACTGCAAAAACAGGTAGCTTGCCCCGGATGGTGTGGCTCAGTGGACTGAGTGCTGGCCTACGAACCAAGAGGTCACTGGTTCAATTACCATTCACAGCACAGGCCTGGGTTGTGGGCCAGGTCCCCAGTTGGGGGCATGCGAGAGGCAACCAACAGATGTATCTCTTGCACATTGATGTCTCTCTCCCTCCCTTCCCTTTTCTCTAAAACTAAATAAATAAAACCTTTAAAAACAAACAAAACAGGTAGTTTGCCGATCCCTGTTCTTGAGGAATGCTATCCAATAGAAATACGACTCTCATAGGTAACTGAAAACTTTCCAATATCTACACTCAAAAAGGTAAAAAGAAACAGGTGAGGTTAACTTTAATATATTTTATTTAATCCAATATATCTAAAACTTACATTTTAACATGTAAATGAAATTACTGAGTTTTAACATTTTTTAAAACCAAGTCTTTAAAATCAGTGTGTATTTCACACTTAACAGCATATCTTGATTTAAATTCATCACATTTGAAGTACTCCTTAACTGTTGGGAACCTTACACCTGGCTTCTAGCTAAAAACATTGCATTGATTACAGGAACCTGTGCGCTCCACAAGCCAATCGGCTACAGGTACATGAGGTGTGCATGCGCTCCACAAGCCAATCAGCTACAGGCACATGAGGTGTCCACGAATACCAGTTGCACCCAAGTAATCAATAAGCGGGCCCTTCTTTGTCTCAAGCTAGCCAATAGCAAGCAACCTAATCTCTCCCTCCCCCCCCCATATATATACCCAGTTCGGAAAAATAAAGTTTGCAGCTTGATCAGAATCTTTTGTCTTGCTGCCATTCTTTGCGCCTCTTGTCCCCCCAACTCATTTGTTATAGGTAGGTGGTCAAGCCCCAGTTGATTGCTCCGCGGGCCGGAGCACTTAGCTCCACGTGGCCAGTGTCCTTCATGTCCCACCAGAAAGAGAAGGCCCAGAGAAACTTGTACATTCCACTGAGAAACAGAACGGGTGACTTTCCAATCAAAATTTAATTTTAATGATTCAAATCAATGAGGAAAAAAGGCACAGTCAATAAACGACTGTTGGGATGACTGGTACACTAACTGGGAAAATAAAGCTGGATCCTTTCTTGTGCCTTACTGCATTATAAATTTCAGATAGGAACAAGATGGCAGTGTAAAAAGGTACAATAAATTCAAGTGGCCAATAAAAAAATTCCAAAAAAATATGTTATTTTAACCACTGGATTGGCAAAGATAGAAAAAGGCCATATTCCCAAACTCTCAATAAAAGTGAGTTTTGTAAATTGGGTGGTATTAGTGGGAATATAAATATGCATGACCTTTCTTAAGAGCAGCTTGGCAATATGTATAAATATATACCCCACTTCTGAAAATTCACCCTAAGAGGTAATTTTTACATGAAAAGAACAAAAAGATGAAGGCATAAGGATATTCACTGAAGCATCATATGTGAGTGAAAACATGTGGAAGTAACTTAAATGTCCATCATCAGTAGGGCCAATTATATAAAATAAGGTCATTAACATAATGTAAATTTCTCATAGAATGATGTTGACATTGCTAGGGAAAAATGCAGGTTGTTAAACAATATGTACAGTGTGATCCCACTTACATAAAATTTAAGAGTTCATATAAATGTATATATTCATAAAGAGATATCAGAAGGACATTTAATAGAATGTATACAGTGATATCTGATCCTATATTCATCTTCATTTCTATTTCTGATGATCATCTGACATCTTTTATCTCAGAATTATTTTTATACATCAGCATAATTTCTTTCAACTGGTATTCCTAGACATATCTTTGATACCTGTCATTTTACAGAGTGTGTTACATGAACCACATCGTGGAAGCTCATTGTTTCAGTGAAATAACACTGTCATGACTTGCATGTGCAACTAGTACTCTTAGGAATATCTTTTTATATGTGTGACTTTACAGAGTGCATTATATGCAGTACATTGTGGTGAACTCATTCATTCACTGAAATAACACTACTTTGATTCAATGAATTATTAGTGTTCTTCTTTTTACACTAACAGAAATTTACTTGAGAGACAATTTTTTCCAGAACCTCTCTCCTCCAGATTGAGCCCACTGCCAAAGCCTGGGTAAGGTGCATAGGGGTCCCCTAAGGGCCAGCACACAGCTCACTGCTCAGGTAGGAGCTGGTGCTGCTGTGACTGTTTTTTTTAATTGAATTTATTGGGGTGACATTGGTTAATACAATTACACAGGTTTCAGGTGAGCACTCACCTTTAAAAAAGATTTTAAAGATTTTATTTACTCATTTTTAGAGAGAGAGGAAGGGAGGGAGAAAGAGAGGAGAAACATCAGTGTGAGAATCATCCATCAGTTGCCTGCTGTAGGACTCCAACTGAGGACCCTGCCTGCAACCCAGGCATGTTCTCTGACTGGGAATTGAACTGGCAATACCTTGTTTGCAGAATGATGCCGACCCACTGAGCCACACTAGTCAGGGCTTAAAAATATTTTTAAACACATGTCTTTATATAGTGTCATATATGCACCACAAAGCAGTGAACACATTCCTTCAATAAAAAAAATCAGCAAGACTTTTATATTTTCTGATTAATATAAAACCTAACTTTTTAACTTTAACAATTCTTGGAGAGAATTAACACAAGTACGTTGACCCAACCAAACAGCCCTCTTTAGTAAGTAACAATTTCATAGACTATAAAGAGAGTGGGGAGAAGTACAGGCAACAAAGAAACCAAACATAAAAGGGAGCCACTGGCCTTGCCTAGGGTAAGCGATCATAGGATTCCTGTAAAAGGCACAGGAAGGCCAAGTATTTTGAGCACATTTTCTAAGGGTGGGTGATGTTACACAATAACACATACCAAAAAGCAATTCCTTACAGATGAAAGGCATCCTTGAAATATATCTATGGAACATAGGAAGAAAACCTTCTCTTTAACCCACTCTTCTATAAAACATCTAGATACATACCCAGAGTTAACATCACCAGAAAAGATCGCTAGATCTACAGATATGACAAACTGTGAACAAACTAATATATCTTCATGCTCTCATGAATAATAATAATAAAACAAGCTTACCAAAAATAAGGAAAGCAAGGTTATCTGAAGAGTCCTTTGCTAGTTTGCTCTCCACCCATCAACAAAGTTGCTTAATAGGCAGACATGGATAAAGGTAATTTTATATAATGCCATTCTTCAGTCACTAGGTTTTCCAAGTTTGGGGTTTACAAGATCTATAAAATTTGACTCTAAATAATCTTTCTCTTTACCATCACTGATATTTCTCAAAACACTATAATCTTTCTCCCAACTAGTGAAAAGTCAGCACAAGGCTCATTCACAACGGACTCCCAGGATCTTACTGTCAATAAAGTAGACACTGTGCCACAATCAGTGCACTCCTGGGGGGAACACTCTCCAAGCAAAACACAGTACAAAACAAAAAAATGATCAATGTTAAATGTTTTCTTAATTGGGGGAAAAAAATCAACAGCTATTTCAAGAGTTAAAAGGCTGCTTTTTACTGATCTATCAAGTTAGCTCTCCAACAGGCAGGCAGTGGAGATATTTTAAGTGCATTACCTTTAGGAGGAAAATACGACTTGCTTTCAGCTTTGTGAGGCCAGTCTACAACAAGAGGTCCAAACCTGCGAAAGCTGGCAGTGATCTCATCTGCAAAACAGAGAAGAAATCTTAGTAAAAGAGAAGAAAACACTGCAAACAGAATAGTTTAAAACATGTATTTTATACAAAAAAAATGTTTTGAGAGCAATTTTATAAAACATTTTTACAGCAGGCAAACCCACTAAGAAAAATACCAATCATTTGGGGGTACATTTGGTTATTCACTTTCACCCTTGCAGAATGTGTTTCTAAATATGATTCATTTCCCTTCACTGCCAATACACCTGATATAAAGGATTTGGAAGAAAAAAAAATCCGATGTTAGCTAAGGTGACCTCCTTCTCAAGTAAAAAGGAGATTCTAAAAATAGGAATGCTCTGTTTTTAGAAAAAAGACAAAAAAAGTACAAAGAATATTTAAAATATACTCTTGCTTGTGTAAAATAATCTCCAAGATCTATCTCTAAGACTACAACTCCTGGATTATTATTATTATTATTAATCCAAGCATATTAATCTGTAAGATTATTTTAGAAATAGTTATGATTCTTTTGGTGAGCAGCAGGGGAAATAAGTAGGTAGTTCTATTTGGTGATAAGAAAAAGTCAAGTCACTGGTTTCTTTCATACGTTCCTACTACATATTCTATTAACAAAAATGTTTTAAAAGTTATAACTCAGTAAATTTATCTTTCCCTTCTGACTTTTGACTCAAAGCAGGAGGTTATAACCTGGCTACTAACCAGGCTTAAGTTGCCACTCAGCCTTGATCAAAACTTTGTCTTAAAGAAAAATCCAACTAATAGACGAAATTAACATTAATAAAGAATAATTTGGAGGGAAATGAGTCTCCATTTGTGTACAACTTTAAAGCAGTAAGTCTAAAATAAAACTATTTTTAGAGACAATTCTTCATCATGAAAAAAAGAAAAGTATGATAAATTACAGAATGTCATAGCTAGAATAATGCTGGCAAAATAGTTGTTGTTTTTTTTAAACAATATTTTATAGCAGATCCAAGGCCTAGGACCAGAGCTGTTTTTTTCCCTTAAATTAATTCTGTTACAATTATATTTCATTTGTCCATTCAAGGAATATTTATTGACAACCTACTATGTGCTAGCTGGTTTTAGGCATAAGGGAAAAACTAACTTTTGAATTGGTAATCTCAAAAATATTATTTAAAAATTTATAATCAGTCTTCATTCTTTTAAAACTTTTAAAAACTTTTAATTTATTTTTAGAGAGAGGGGACGGGAGGGAGAAAGAGAGAAACATCCAACAGATCAGATTGGTTGCCTCACCCCCAGCCTGGGACCCAGCCTGGGACCCAGGCATGTACCCTGACTGGGAATCGAATTGGTGACCTTTTGGTTCGTAGGACAATGCCCAACCCACTGAGCCACACCAGTCAGGGCTAGTCTTCAATCTTTTAAAGACGAGAGGGGGCTCTTCATTAATAGGTATTGGTATTAAAAATATGAGATGGTAAGGTGTGATGAACATGAAAAAGCTCTGGAAACAGAATGATTTTGTGTTCCAATAGCACCATAGCTACATAATCCTCAACAAATTGTTTCTCTCTGATCCTCAGCTTCCTCATCTATAAAATGGAGTTGGTAGGATTTGCCTTATAGGAGAATGATGGGGATTAAATGAAACACTATAACACGAAGCACCCAGCACAATAATGGGCTTATAGTAAGTTTCATAAAAGTTGGTTCTCATTATTGTTTTAAAATTTATCCCAAAATTAATAACTAGGAAACAGGACACTACTGGAAAGCTGCTGTTTATAAACACATATAAACAGCAGACCTGAATGAAGTACATAATCTATTACTGCCCCATCTACTGAATGTTCTCATTTCCCATTCACTGAGATATGAGTATCCTTAAGCTGCCTTGGCGAGGAGAGGCAGGGTCAGATCACTCAAAGAACAAACCTGGCCTTTATAAAGTGATTAATGAACTCGCAGTACCTTCATCGATATCAGGAGGAAGGCCTCCAACAAACACCTTTCTAGAGTAGCGTTCTACTCGTTCCCCATTCTGACAGCGAGTGGGAGAGCTTAAGCCAGAGGATAAGGACTGATCGCCGTGACTGTCATCCAGGAAGGCATCTTCAAAGGGAAAAAGAGAAGACCGACCTGAAACAAATGTGGGAGTTTGCACAGTTAAAATTATTTTCCTGGACAATAAATATTTTACTAGGAGACAAAGGGCAAAGTACAGCATACAAAAAAATCAATCTTAAACTGGGATTCATTTTTCAGTAGAATAACCAATGGCAGATTCCCAACCAGGTCTAGACAAGTTTATACCATTATTTCTGTGTAAAGGTATGGAAAGTACAGACATGACCGGATTGATACTAAGGAAGAAGCACCAAATATTGCAGCTGTTTTCACTGCTAAAAAATTAGTATATATCAGACAATCCTTATCACTGCTGCTGAAAGTATTCAGCAGTTATTTATCCTTCCCTCAGGCATTTCTTAAAATAAATGAGAAGTAATCTTTATTCACAGATTTTTATTTGCTTTTTACGGAGATCTCAAAGTTTCAGTTCTAAAGATGGGCCCTGATAGTAGAGGAAATATTAAATGGACGAGAGGCTGATAACTTCTTTGAGAGCTGGAATAAAAATGATCAAGTTTTCCTTGCCATTCCAAGCTACTCCAATTTGAAGATAAACATCTGCAATAATAAAAGGCAGGGAAGGCAAATGAAAACACGTAAGTTTAGAAGGGGAAGAAAAGATGTGATGTGGTTATGACATTTTTTTTACCCTACTAATGTAGACCGTATTTTATATCACTAGAAAAATTGTTCTCATTGTTAACTCTATAGCCAAATAAAAGTGTACAGAGTAAAGGTACCTATCCACTCCACATGACTAAAAGCAGTTAGAGTCTGTTAATAAATGTAACACAATAATGCCATCTGGCATTACAAAATAAAATCTAAGTTTAAAAACAAATATATTTCCTGTTTGAGTCACTGAGTTCCTGGTAAAATTTTCCACCAGGTTCTACTCTAAAAACAAACTGTCTTGAGCACTCTAACTTTTGAAAAAGAGAGAAATTCCCTTCTAAAATAAATTCATACACTCTTAAAAAATAAAACAACAGTATCTTCCCCATTTAGTCTATCCTGTCTTTATTTCCCTGAAACCTAGGTTCTGCGTCACTACAGCCAACTCTCTGAAACAGAATATAAATAGCCTTAGAAAAATACTGGACATTTATTTCTTCTACAAAAAATAGTTCCTAATATAACTCTGTTTATTTTATGGACCCAGGTGGCATAAGAAAGGCGCTGTTTTGATGTTGGGAGTTAATAAATAAATAAAAGGACCAAAGAATTTTTTTGTTCAGCTATTCCCAGCTTAGCTACAAAGAAAAAGAACAAAATCTGTCCCTTCATGTCACCTAGCTTTTTTAGTCTGACAGGAACAAACAATAGACAGTAAATTCTCATCCCTTGATGTCTGTTTTGATTATTAGGGGGAAATAGATCTGCAGCAACCAAAGATACCCAGAGATGTTCTCCTACGGCTGTCAGCTTTTCTTTTCATGAAATCCATGCTCAGTGAATCATGTGCCTACTCTGATCAGCATTTCTCACAGAATGTACTATACCCTCTTCTTACCCTCAACACTAATAAAATTAAATGCTCAGAAAACAAAAGCTGGTGCAGGGGGGGGAGACGAAATAGTATTGGAAAATACTGTACACCTTATGCCCTTCCCATAGATTAACAATCCATGTTAGAATACAAAAGACTGGGAAAAGCTCCACAATAAAATAAATTAATCCAGCATTACTTGGATTTCTGACAAAGGAATTTTTAACATATATATTTCAGTGAAAAACACTTTTAGAAATATTTATTCCCACTTCACAAACACCAAACAAATAGGATGGTTATTTGGAAGTCCCTTACAAAAAAATCAAGTCTGGGAAGAGAGATCGGCAAGTACACGATTACGAAATAGAGGGAAAAGTACCAAGGAAGACTTTACCAAGTGACACAAAAGCATGATGTACTGCCCTCCAGGAGACGGGGGCAAAAAGATCTTCAGGGTAATTTTAGTGGCAGGCAATTTAGTGGTAGAATCTTGTGGAAGTAGGAGTATCTAAGCATCCACAGAGAAAGTTTTGATCTTTCCCTCCAAACCTGCTCCTCTCAATAAAAATGACTAATATCCATATCCAATTCAATCCATGGTCTAGGAATTACCCTTAACATCTCTATTGCTTTCATATTCCAGTTCCAATCCATCTCTCACTAAGTCCTATCAATTCAAGCTATAAAACAATTCTTCAATCCAGTCAATTTGATTCTAACAGCCTGGTGCAGATCCCCATCATTTCTCCCCTAAACTAACAATTTAATGAGTCTACACGACAGCTCCTTTGATTTCTAGCCTACACTCTACAATGCTTTCTCTGAGAACAGCCAAAGTTCACCATTTTCAAATATTAATCTGAACATGTTACTACACTCTTCACCTCTACCCTTAAAACCCCTTAATAACTTCCTATGCTCTCCCGGTAAAGTGAGGATACATCACTGTAACTGTAAGGCCTCTGCCTGCCCATCTTACATCACTGCCTCTCCCCGTCGTTCACTAACCTCCAATCAGACAGATAGACCTTTAAATTTCTTGATTATTCCTTGCTGCCTCAGGCCCTAAGGACAAGCTGTAGCCCCTAATCAAAACAAACAGTTGCTTCCCAACTCCCTAATTTTCTAGCTAACTCCTACCAATTCTTCAAGCCTCAGCTGGTGGAATCATTTCCTCTGGTGGAACTATCCTGACTTTCTAGGTTAGGTTAGGTCCCTTTTTCTATCTACTCATAGCACTTTTCTTAACACTTTCCCCAATTACCATTAAAGTACTGTGTGGGGTTTTATTTGGTATCTCATTCCCCAACCCCACTAAATTGTAAAATTTAGGAAAGGGACCCATTTAATCTTATTCATCACTGTACCTTCATGTTTTAATAAGGGCACATGAAAGGCACCCAATAATTGTTAAAATAAGGCAATATCCAGCAAAAGAAAACAGCATGTGCAAAGACATGGCGCTGCAAGTATATGTTGGAACACAATACATGCAGAGACAATGGCCCAAGATGTGACCCTGCCCCAGAAAACAAAGGCCTTTTTGATTCTGCTTGTTCAAGCTTTAGATTCTCTATTACAAAAGAAATAGGAAATCCCCCCGTTTTCCAAATTTAATATTTCTTTCTAATACTAGCCTTTTCTTTTTTTTTCAAACTATACTCATTCCCTGGAGGCTCTAATACTTCCATCTAATCTATCTCCCACCCTGTCACAATGAAGTCTCTAAGATGCTTGTGACCATGTCATTTCCTCTACCCCAAATCCTATGAAAGCTACGCCTCCACCAGCAATTTATACCCAGGAACAGGGGGAGGGGGAAGAGTCAGAAGAAATCAGTGACTCCAGATGAGAGATGAGGAAGTCTTAAACCAGAGCAGTGAAGGAGAAGTCAACGTTCAAGCCCTTCTGGAACAAAGAGGACTTGCTTCAGGCATGGCCAACATGACCACAGCTTCCCCAGAGTACATTGATAAAGAAAACAAAAGCAACAGTTAATTGTAAAAATTTGCACTGTTATAAAAATTGATTATGGATACTTAAACTTTCCAAGGTTTTAAAACTAAATCTCTGTTTTATTATTAGTATTTAAGTACCACAGACTTTAGTAATATAGTGGCTCTTGGAAATGAAACTGCTAAGAATTCACACATACACGACAGTTCCTTAACTGCAAGTAAGAACTAAAAATGTATGTCTCAGAGCACAATTACCAGATCTACTTAATCTGAATCTGTGGAGCTCAAACTTGAAAATCTGCACTTGTAACAAATTTCCCTGGTGATTCATGTGCTCAAGTTTAAGAACCATGGAACTGGAGATCGATTGTCTGTCTACAACAGGCAGCAACTTAAAAAGATACTGTGTGAAGTATATAGAGCCTTGAGAAACATTCAAGTTCAATCAAATTAAAGGCAGTGCATCCTCAGGAATAAAATGCAAAATCTATAATCTAGTCCATCTTACTCTAACATGACTGCCTAAAGTGCTGATGGAACAAAAAGTTAGTCTGCAGGAGGTATTTAAAAGAAGTGAAGAGACTTCTGGCCAAGATGGAGGCATGGGTAGATATACTTTGCCTCCTCAAACAACCAAAAGGACAACAACAAATTAAAAAAAATCAGAACTGTCTGAAAATCAAACTGTATGGAAGTCCAATAACCAAGGAGTTAAAGAAGAAACATTCATTCAGACTGTTAAGAGGGGTGGAGATGGGCAGCCAGGGTGGAGAGGACATGGGCTAGGGGTGGCAAGGAGCTCCCATATCTCCATGCAGATAAACCGGGAAGAACAACTGGGGAGCAAAACAGACCATGCAAGCCAGGGTTCCAGCACAGGAAAAGAAAACCTCAAAAACCTCTGGCTATAAAAACTTGTGGCGGTTGTGGCAGGAGAAACTCCCAGCCTCACAGGAGAGATGACTGGAGAGATCCACAGGTTCCTAAAATGTACACAAAAACATGCCCCCAGAAATCAGCACACCAAGGACCAGATTTGCTTGTAGGTGGTGGGGGAAGTGCTGAAAGCCAGCCAAGAGCCAAGCAAGTGGCACTGTTCCCTCTCTGACCCCTCCCCTAAATACAGCACCACAACACAGCTACCTGGGTTGCCCTGCCCTGGCGATCACCTAAGTCTCTGCCCCTTACTACATAACAGGAGCACTGAGACAAAGAAATATGGTCCAAAAGAAAGAACAGATCAAAGCTCCCTAAATAGAACTAAGTGATGAAGAGATAGCCACCCTTTCAAATGCCCAGTTCAAAATGCTGGTAATCAGGATGCTCACAGAAATGGTTGAGTATGGTTGCAAAATAGAGGAAGGAGTGAAGTCCATGCAAAGGGAAATAAAGGAAAATGTACAGGGAAGCAACAGCGAAGGGAAGGAAACCAGGACTCAAATCAACAATTTGGACCAGAAGGAAGAAAGAAACACTCATCCAGAACAGAATGAAGAAACAAGAATTCAAAAAAATGAGGACAGGCTTGGGAACCTTCGGGACAATTTTAAACATCTCAG